GCATCAGAATGGAGGATAGGAGATCATGAGGATTAAATTAACTAAAATGCATTTATATATGTTACTGAATACTAACACAATTGATGACCATAAAATGTGTTTTTGGACACTTCTAAAGTAAAATATAAATGCCCTGCTTTTTAGTAGTGTGGTAATACTCATCTCTGATATTCAGAACGTTTTTCTAATAATTTAAAAGACCATTTTTCTCTAGATGAAGTCTCATTATATCGTGAGCAAAGAACAGAATTATACTGTCTTTAGACATACCATGGAGTAATCAGCTCCTTTTAGAAGAGTGTTTTGACTTAATAATGAAAACACCCCAATAATTTAAATTAATATCAGCTAAGTTGTGTCACCATAATGTTCTAAAATAGACCAATCACCTAGGATGAGAAACAGCTTTTTAGCTGCAGTTCCTTAAGGGGAGTTTCTATAACTGTTGTCCTTCTTGGGGTGAAAGGGTGAAAAGGAGGTTTCTCCTCCCTTCCTCTCTCCCTTCTTCTGTTCATTTTTCTCCCCTTTCTTTCTCTTTTCTCTTTTCTTCTTCCCTTTCTTCCCCTCACCACCTTGCAAGTAGGTGTAAACGACCAGCGTTAAACGTAAAAGGGGTTTCTCATTTGCTCTCTTTCAATATCTGTGTGCTCAACTGATAACATTTTACATACACACCCCCCTTAAAGAATTCTGCCAAGACTTGTAAAAATTGGATTTTCTATTCCACAAAATGTGATAGGAAATCATGCCAGCAATAGCGTGCATGCAGTAACGGTGTGCTGTGGAGAGGCCCTAAATCAAAGTCTCTTGCTCAATAATAAGTCTCTTGAACTTATCCTGAAATCAAATCTAGAATATGTGTGAAAAGTTGGTATTTCATTTTGCAGTGCTAAAATGTAACTTGTGTATGAATTGTGAGTTTGTTTAAAGAGAGAATATAAATATTTTCCTCTAAACACCTATATTTGCTATGAGATATAAATAATATGTATTTTATGGCTTCTACTTGTTCATTTGCAAGGGGTTTCAACAAAAAAGCTAATACTCAAGAAATCTCATAGGACCCAAATAAATATTTAGAAAGGCATCTGGTAACCTAAAGTAATGCTTTCCAAGTGTCTGATGATAGTACACGAAGATGGCAGGTGTTGCTATAGAGTGTCTGTGAGAGGGAAAAATAAAACACTAATTAGTTGATTTGTGTGCCAGGAGTGATAAATTCTATAACACCATCAATTATGGTTATCAAGTTGTCTTAAATTATTCATTGATCAATGCAGGGATACACAGAGAGTGGCAGTCATTTAGAACTAGTACTATGGCTTGAAAATTCTGTATTTTCTTAGACTTCTAGTTAAGTATAATGGTTGATTTATTGTTTGAAGAAACTTAGACTATCAGCAGGATGCATTTCTTTAATGTTTCAAAAAATGTTCTATTGTTTTGGCCAGGATTATCTTGTAAATAAAGATTACTTACAAAGGATATATGGTTTCGATTCCAAAACCCAGGATTACAGTCCTGGTAATTTTTATTTTAAAGATTACATTCCATATATTTAGTCTATAATCTAGAGTTCAAGTAAAGATGTTTGTAGGAATAGTTGTCACGCCCCTCCCTCCTGTGTGCATGGATGCACATTTTTGTCCATCTGTGATGAATGCATATCTGGTGACCTATTATTCACTGCGAAAATATTGCTGATGGAGTTTTTCGAAACAAAAGTAAATATAGATAATATTAAGTTAAAAATCAAGATATGAAATCATAGCTACTTTATGATTACAACTCTATAAGCAATGATAAGACTATGAGGGGAAAAAAGTAAACAGAAATACACAAAGATATCCTTACTCGTCCTTTATACTTATAGAGAAATATGGATGATTTTGTAATTTCTTCACTGTGTTTTATTTTTTCATAATCAAAAATCTATTACATTATACATGGAACTTAGAGGAAATTATTTCAAAGATAATGTTTATCATATTATTACAGGTCTTTTGTAGCACATACCATTTTCTCTGTTTGACAAATAGAAAGAAAAATAATAAATATTGGATCATAAGGGCTACATAGAAAATTCACATTTTAAATCAAGGACATTTAAGAAAACTTATGAAAAGAATCATGCCACCGATACTTTTGTTCATTCTTTTTTAATGTAATACATTTTGTAATACATTATGAGGCTTAAAACGTGAGGGTTTTGGTCCTACTAGGCTTATGTTATTCTAAACCTCATTAGCATAATTAGATGGGTTTTAAATCTCCACCTGGCTTCATTATAATTATTCTTTTTTTCATTTTTACAGTTTGTAAAATGGAATTGCAAACTAAATTTCAGAAAGTGATCTGTGGAGTTTAAATACTAGCTTATTGGACTGAACAAACAGTCTCAAATTAAAGGTCTCCACTCTTGTCAAATTTCCGTTAGTTTGCTCTCTGATTCTTTGGTAATCCACTCTCATACTTGAAGGGGCGTTAGCTCAAATAGATACCAGGAGGGAGCAGAATTTCTTTTTTTCTTTTTGAGACAGAGTCTCACTATGTCACCCTCGTTGGAGTGTCATGGCGTCATAGCTTACAGCAACTTCAAAATCTTGCTTTAAGCGATTCTCTTACCTCAGCCTCCCAAGTAGCAGAAACTACAGGAGCCCCACAACGCCTGGCTATTTTTTTTGTTGCAGTTGTCATTGTTGTTTAGCTGACCCAGGCTGAGTTCAAACCCGCCAGTCTAAGTGTATATGGCTGGCACCCTAAAGGCCACAGGCACTGAGCCAGGATCTCTTTTTAATCTTTGAACTCTCAGAATTACAATGAGTTTTAAATGTCCAAGAAATTTCTTAATGTATCTGAATGGATTTGAAACACTGTTAAGGGTTATTAACCTTTGGGTTTCCTACATAATAATCTTTGATTTCTCTCTCAATGTGTTTTCACAATATGTTGGATGTGGCTGTATGAAAATATCCCAGTATTATAAAGGATAGGAATAGTATTAGAGAGCATGGATTATAATTCTGACATGCTGCTACATTCCAGTCGTTTTGTACAAGTGACTTAAGCTCTCTGTACTTGTTTTCTTATTATCTATTTAACAGGAAATTAACCATACATTTTCTATATTTTATGGTGAAAGAAATATTAATTTTACTTTACATTATGAATCTATCTAATGTTGGAGAGTTTCTCCAAATTTAGATTTTCTTTAAATTTAGGTATGACCAAGACATTCTATGGGAAAGTCGAAAATTTTGGCATATAAAAAGCAATAGACAAATCATCTTCAGGCATTTTTCCTGACCACAGGAATGATATTTATCATTTATTTTATAACTGATAATACATTTTTAAAAAATGTATAGAGATTGCTGCTTATTATTCACTGAGCATTCATTAATTTGGCAGGAATTAATATTCATTACAGAAAACTTTATATTCTTGAATACGATTCCTGATTCCCTGGGCTTGTTCCTAATAATTTTCTGGAGTCTCTTTTTGTATAGAAATACTTAGAAGGCATTTGGCCCGGCATGCTAGTTACCCTGCCCCCAGATGAGATCATTACCCAAGGGTCTGAGATAACAACTGCTCCATCCCCCTCCAGCCCCAAGTAAGAAGTCATGTTCCCTTCACAGTTTTTTTTAAATATGTAGAAGCAATTAAGCAACATTTCAATTTTAAATCACTAAGCATCTTACTATGGAACGTGCATAATTCATTACTTAATACAACACACAAACCATTTACATGTTTCAAGATCATAGAGATTTGTAATTAAGTGTAATTTCTTTTAGCACTTTAAAAACTCTCCACCCACAGCTCAGATACTGCTAGGGATTGGACAATTATCTTTAATGCCCAGTGATTTGCATAGGAGGTGTAATGTGAGTTTTAGGAATGTGAAGAAAGATCGTCTGCTTTCAGTCAATCTTCACATAACTTTGGGCTAGTTTCTTTGAACTTCTTATGCTTTTAGTATTCTCATTTATAAAATGAAGATAATCATGCTAACCTATATAATCATACTAGTAAATACTTATTGCTATGTGTGGAATACACAAGGCAATGCCTGGCCTATGAGCACCATATAAGCGATCCCTGATTATTTTGTGAATTCTCAGACTTCTGAATTTAGATTTTAATCTTGTCTATGCTTTTAGTCTTTGGTGGTTGCCAAAATATAGTATGCAAGAGTTACTGTATCTCGTTACGTTCAGTAATTTTCAAGGGTGATTTTAGTATGAATGTGTGTACTCATGATGTTTTCTCTATAACATTTTATGTTGTAGCTATCTAATAGATGAGACTTCACTATATAAAATAAGTCAGAACACAGTTTTGCACACATAGTAGGATATTGGATAGATTAAGCAGTGAAGTTCTTCTTCCTTCTTCATGCTAAAGTATGTTTTTTCCCTCTCCAAAATGAGTTCAATTCTCAGTACTTTTGTCTTCTTAATTGTTTCCCTATCTTCTGCATACTTATTTTGATTTTGAAAGTTAGTTTACCTTTCATTAAGTGGAGATAATGATACTAGTTTTTTACAGGGAAAATATCACTACTGGATATGTTTCTTTTTCTTTTTTTGGTAGAGACAGAGTCTCACTTTATCATTCTCAGTAATTGAGTGCTGTGGCATCACACAGCCCACAGCAACCTCTAACTCCTGAGCTTAGGCAATTCTCTTGCCTCAGCCTCCCGAGTAGCTGGGACTACAGGCACCTGCCTCAACACCCTGGTATTTTTTTGTTGCAGTTTGGCTAGGGCTGGGTTTGAACCCACCACCCTCAGTATATGGGGCCAGCACCCTACCCACTGATCCACAGGTGCCGCCCCCTACTGGATATGTTTCTTAATAATGGATTTAGATTCAGTACTTGAATATATTTTTACTTAAGTGACTTTATAGTGTTCCACTAGATCATTGATGCGGTTGCTGTTGTTACTACCTTGTGCAAGATTTATCCTAATAACTGTGCCTTCCCTCTGACAGCTCTTTCAAGCATTTGATTGGAGGGCTGGATGACGTTTCTAATAAAGCGTATGAGGATGCTGAAGCTAAAGCAAAGTAAGTGACATTTTTTACCTTGGCCTTATTCTTGATTGTGTAAATGATTTTGAAAGGAAATCAGATAAATATTTTATTGTACTTAACCAAGCCCACCACTCTGCCAGAAAAAAACTAGTTACTTGAAAGGGAAAAGAAGCAATCCGTCTAAAGTTTTATTAAATAGTGTGCTTACTTAGTATGTCTCTGTTTAAATATCAAACCTGAATTTCCCTTCCCCAAAAGGGAAAATGTCTAGTTTAAAATCCGGCATAAACCATTGAATGTAAACATGTTATTTCTCCTACTGAAAATACTTTCTGAACAAATGATAGTTATGTTTAATAGTCATTTATGGAATGTTATGGGAAATAATTAGGCTAGAAATACTTCCCTGTGCAAATTCATCATTACTTTACCTTGAACTTCGAGGTTACTGGTCTGGGAATGGCATGAGATGGTAAATAGTCCATTAGGTTTCATGTTGTATTAAAAAATATAGTTCTGTCTATAAGGACAATTTGTTTTAAAATGAAACTTTGGGGAGGTAATGATTTGAAATAGTTTGAGATTAGCTTTCTCTGCATAATTTTTAAGTTACTCAAAAATAGTATCTATATAATTTTTCTCTCTTTCCACCAAAGCATTTTAGTATTTGATATCATACAGCACAACTGTAGAATTAAATTGAGAAAGAATAACATTAACTAGATCGTTCAATACAGAATTTAATTAGTCGGTTTGGTATTAACCTAAAAATCAAAAGAAATAAAAGACATTATTTTGCTTTGAGAATTTGTGAAAATGAAAAATTTGACCTATAGCTAACATATTAAGAACTATATTCCATGCTAACCCCATAAAATTATTAATTTCCGAAGTATGGATATGTTCACAATTTTTCCTCAATGTAGTTTGCTTTCATCCTTTTGAACTTAAGCCTTGAAGTCGAATGCCAGCAATGCCTTGTAAGGTTTGCTCGGGAAGTTACATTGGCCAGTCCTAACATTAAGCTTCGTGTGGTCCTTGGGACTGCTTATCCTCTATACAGTTAGCATTAATTGTTCTGGTTTTCTATAATAAGCTAAAGTGCTCCTTTATACCAAGTTTAGACTTTAGTTTGTGGTGTTAGTACTAATCTCACTGAGGTGGCAAAGGAGGCCTTTTAAATTACCTTGTCAGTTTAAAAGTGATAAAATGTCATTTTATAAAAGTTATGAAATGCTCTTTTATAAAAATTATATAAAGCCTTTTTTGGGCTTTATTCCTAAGGGAATATTTTTGCTATGCAAGAAAATTAATATTTATAATTTATGTAATTCTTTTTCTCAAAAAAAATATTCAGTTAAGAGCACCATGATTCACTTTATATATATAACATATACACACACACACATATATATACACATATCACATTATAAATAATTTTTTGTATCTAATGTGTATAAAGATATAATCTTATACATGATACAATTTAAATAACTTTATAATTATGACTTTACTTTAAAATACTATATACATATGTATATAAATATACATACGTATAAAAATATGTAAAGCAAATGGAAATAAACTTGAAAATGATCTAAAATCTATTTGAATAATTATTCTTAGCGTTACTAGAAAAAGTACAGGTTTTTTTAGACTAATGCGTTCTTGCTTCTTTAATCTATTTCTGTTTCTCTATGAAACTTTAGAGAGATTGACCAGTGGAATGTTTTGTAGAATTCCTATTTACTCCACCCAAAGTAGAGGCTAGTCACAGGATTCAACCTAGTTAGTGAGGGGAAGGGATTATGAATTAGCCTTATCTTCCTTAGCGTCCTCTGACTTTATAAAGATGACTGTACAATCTCATGATTTCGGGCCATTTATAATGGATTTGCACGTGCTTCAAGTAAAGAAATTAACACACCAAAATCCAGTTCAGACAATTGGAAGGTGGATATGGTAATGATCTTAATATTGGAAAAGAATCAATGCCTATGAAAAAGCTGAACCGAAACGAAGGCCAGAAGCCTTGGGTTCTGCTTCTGGCTTTGTAATTACCAGACAAGTGGTTTTGGTCGTGACTCTGAACACCTGTTTCTCAATCTCAGTTTTCACTCTTTTAAAATGGTGTTTTTGAGAGTTAATCGATGGTAATCAGTAAAAGATATTTTGTAAATTATAAGAGGCTTTAAAAGTGGAAGCCTTTGTTAATAGAAGAAATGGAAGCTATTGTTAATAGAAGAAATAGCTTGAAAGATATTTTAGTGCATTTGAGATGTGATTGGATGTACAGAAAATTATTTGATATTTATATGTAAAACAATTTTACTTGGGCACGAAGTCTTTAATGTTATGTAAGTAATATGCTCTTGAAAGTAAAGCTTGCCTAGAAAATATCAATAAATTTTTTTTTATAAAAACAATACCATTTTAGTTAATAGGAACAAAAAAGGGCAATAGGATGACAATCTTTATTAAGGTAGTTCCAAATATTATTATTTGACCTGTAGATTTCATAGATTATGACTCTAGCATTATATTCATAATTCTCTCTCACTTTTATTGAGGCATAATTACAAATAAAAATATGTACATTTCAGGTATACAACATGATTGCTATCTGTATAATTGTGAAATGATTACCACGGTCAAGCTAATTAACACATTCATCACCTTACCTAGTTAGTTATTCTTGTGTGGTGAGAAGGCTTAAGATATGTGTCTCAGCAAATTTCAACTGGGCCAGATTTGTTTGAATTTTCTCTTCAACTCCTCCTAAACCCAAATTAGTGCATGGTTTGGTATACATTCCTTAATATTGATTATTATTTAGAAAAAAGTAAAAATTTAATGAAAACAATGTCTGAAACCTTTAATCTCAGTTCCAGAGAGGTTGATGATGTGACCTTCATTCTCCCAAATAGCCAAACGAATAAATCCTGGAGAAGTTATTGTTAGGCTTTTTACCCTGTTAGCATTAGCTTGCTAATAAATAATTAAAGATTTCTGAAGTTGAAGGTATCTTTTAATTAGGCATCCTGTCACTCAGAGAAGGCAAATGTGAATTATTCCCTAGGGAAACCTTTTTAGTTGAACTAACAGGTCTAAACCTCTATTTGTATTAGCATTGTTGTCTCTCTCTATTGAATCCCTTCCCCATAAGTACATTGAAACTTCACTTTCTATTTAAGAGATTTAAACAGTTTGCCGACATTGCAGGAACGAAGAACAGACTCTAATTGATCTAAACTCCCTTGTTAATTCTGTTAATGCCTCTAAATTTCTATGTAGATCACAAAATCTGGAACTGAAAATTTAGAACTGAAGGCTTTACTTTACAAGCTTCATTTTTTTCTGACTTCCCTTGATTTTGTAAAATCCATAGAAGATGACATTATTATTTCCTAAAATCCATCTGAAAGTATTATGATATTTTATCCATATACAATCATCCTTGGTAATGTCTATTTTGAATATGCTCATTTGGTTAAGAAGAAGAAACAACGAAGGACTGGCTATAAAGAATGATAAAGGTGACACATTTAAAAGTACAAATGTGAGAGACTCCTTAGCTATCAGCACAGTCAGGTTCAAGGGCATAATGATTTCAAAAAATGTACAGATGATCCCTTTCTGAAAAACAATGACAAACATTTGGCTCAGGTAGCTGCTCTAGGAAGACTGACTGAAGAGAAATACTCCAGTGAAATGGTACTCACAGCTCTCCTCTGCAGGCTACATTCCTTCAGCCTGTCTCATGAGATGTATTTTCTACAAAGATAATTATTCTTGGCAGAAATTTTGCCTTTATGTTTAAGCTTCTCTTGATTGCTGTTAATTATTCACTGAGGGCTTCTCTGTTTAAAATATGAAGTTATAATCACAGAGACATTAGAAGAGACAGCATCAGATCAAAGTTAAAGATCATTAAATCTTATCTAAAGCAGAAAGTATCAGATGTGATGAAAGGAACATATCATTTCCCTTTGAACATACATATTCATTTAATAAACATTTAGAAATGTACTTATGAGTCTGGCATTGTGCTTTATAACAGAACACAGAATTTCCAATACTGCAGACTATCTTACAATATAGTGGGGAGACTGATACTAGATAATAATTCAATGATTATTTTTACTATTTAGTTCTGAGAACTATGATCATTCTTAGAGATTACACTGTTTGAGTACAGAGTTAAATCTCAATATTTATACCTTGCCTTGTAAAAATTGTAACCATCCAGAATTATTAAAAGAAAAAGTAAGTATTTTATTTCATGTTAAGTATTTCGGACATATAAGTGTAGCCTATATTGTAAATAAAATAAACTCAGGTTATGCTTTCATTGATGTCATCATTACTGAACACTGTGTTCAATAGTTACAGGTTAAAAAAAAAACTTCAAATAAAAAACCTATACATATATATTTCAACTTACCATGTTAATTTTATTACTTTATTACAAAAATCTCTAATATAAAAGATGCTCTCTTAGAAGGTCATTTACATTTGCCACAGTTATATTCCCTGAGAGGATCAAGCAGGTGAAGAAAAATTAAACAGTGATTTTTGTTGTAATGATATCTGTTTTTATTAAAATGTGCTTTTACTATTGCTGGAAATAATATGGCACCATAGAGAAAGAAAAAACATTTAAATCAGACATAGCTGATATTACCTATCTTTGGGCTTTAAAGCCTATTTAGAGTACACTTAAAATTTTATGTCTTGGTTTGTCCTATTTATTGCCATCATTTTATAAACATTTGTAATTCTATTTTATTCTCTTCATAAACATTATTTTAACAGTGTCTGTTTATGCAATGAATGAAAACCCAGTATTCTAGACTAATTCAAGTTGTAGTAATGTTGCTTTAATTTATTTTGCTTTGGAAGATAAGATCTTGATAACTTCTTTTAAAAGACAGCACCAAACAACAAATAACACCTTCATATCTGGCCCATTTAGGAGTCTTTTCCAAAAAAGTTCTATGTAATGGCACTCATAGAAAAGGGGACAGTGTAGT